CTTAAGATTTCAATTTGTTTTGAATATTCATAAATTCTACATATGACAAAAGGATTGTCTCGCCACGACAAGCATTCACTTCGTACTGTCATACACCTTAATCAAATGATTTTTTTTTTACATAATTTAGCTAATTTTGATGTCAATTCATTGCAAAAAATACATAGTCTTCTAATCGATATTCTTTGTGTAACTTTAAAATTCACGCTCTTAAGGGTGTGGGTGTGGTTGTGGGGTGTGGGTGTGGGGTGTGGGTTGGGTGAGTGTGGGTGGGTGTGGGTGTGGGTATAGGTGTGGGGTGAGGGTGTGGGGTGTGGGTGTGAGTGTGGGTGGGTGGGTGTGGGGTGTGGATGTGGATGTGGATGCATGGGTGTGGGTGTGGGGTGTGGGGCGTGGGTGTGAGTGTGGGTGGGTGTGAGTGTGGGTGTGGGTGGGTGTGGGGTGTGGGTGTGGATGTGGATGGATGGGGGTGGGTGTGGGGTGTGGGTGTGGATGTGGATGGATGGGGGTGGGTGTGGGTGTGGTTCAAGTTTTGTTCTATGCCCACACCCAGACTCGCACCCACACCCACACCCATCCACACCCACAACAAAATAGAAATAAAAGCGCAAAATATATAAAGTAAATATATTAAGACAATTGAATACGATTCGCAATACTTTTGTCGCCCGTGGCCAGGTCGATGATAGATGTGGGTGTGGGTATGATTAATCTTTTGAAAGTCAACTCTTGAAACCCATGTATGGTTCCAGTTTTGCAGATAAAATATCTTTTTTACAAATGGACGAGTGTTGCTTTCTCTCTGAAAGAGCACATATCAGTGTCAAAAAGGCACATAACTGACATTTTAAAAGAACTTCAGACTATAGTAGATTTAACAGGCAGTGTTTAAAAAAAACATTGTCGCTTTATAACTCGTATTGACACTGTTCATAGGAAAACTTCCCGCTTACCTGCTGATAAGACAATGATATACTCAAATTATCTACTGACAGAAGTCAAAATATTTTATTCTTTCTTTTAGCTACGTAAATTCAGAGCAAAAATTACAATAAAATCTTCGGATATTTTTTTAACTGATTACAAATCAGTATCTATGGTGTGGGCGTTAGTGTGTTTTTATGGGTATAAGTGTGGGGTAGAGTGCGGTGTGGGTGTGAGTATCGTTCTAGTTTCACGCACCCATCCAAATTCCCAAGCGTTTTGTATGTTCATGTTGAAATCTATAATGGGCAAACCAAACAATTTGTTTTTTGTTTTGAAAAATCTATTCCACATACGCTACTTCTATTCTTATGTCTAGTTTTTCCTTGAATTTCCATTATTACCAATCGATGACTCGAATAAAGATATGCGTCTGTTAAATAAATACTCAATTTGATCGATCAAATAAGAAGTTTGCTGATGTATATGGAGAATATGGCAAACAAAGAAATTCAAATACTAAATGGCATTGGACAGTTGTCAAAAATGTTCTCACAGATTTTTAGCCTTTTCGCTTAATGATCTAGCTGAGATGAGCATTGACTCATACTAATTAAGGAAAAACTAAATCATATATTTAAACATCTGAAGCATGATGAAACTTTTTGAATATGAATTGGAAACAACAATAAAAAGCTTATATTTAAATGTATTCCATTAGACAAATCAATGCCACAATCCGTGTAACCGATTTTTCGAAATAATAGGCATTACAACGCATTATTTTTCAATGGAAACGTAATTAATGCAATTAAATGATAATGCAAACTATTTCATGCATTATAATACATGTTTTATATCAACGCATTATAATGCATGAAATAGGTTACATTATCATCTAATTATGCACATTATTTTTAAAATGTATTTTAATGCATTAAGAGCTTCATATATTATGCTCGTATGATTATAATCTAATAATTATGTTTTTCAATCTGTATTCTTAAAAAAAAACGTTGCTAGACTGAACCTTTAGGACTCTAGATTTCTATAGCATTTTATGAACTATTTTGAGTTCTAGCCGAAAACTCTTGAACTTAAAAAGTTTGAGCCAGTAAACTACGGAACCTAAGTAGGTTCTAGCTGCTTTGACTAAAACTTAAAATGATCAGAAAATGATACCGAAATCTAGAATGATAAAACGCTCTGTGTGACATCTTTGTTAGAAAGCATCCTTATTCTCATAATTTTATCTATATATCACTATATCTAAACTACTATCACTCCACCGTCACATTTATCCTCTTACGATTACATCGCCACACTTCAACATTACAGCAATATCCTCATTATTATACTCTTATAACTTTACTCCATACCCAGACAATAATGACTCTACTATTCTCACTTTATTGTTAAATCTACACTCTTATATCTATAACTTGTTGATTATACTTTTATAACTGCATGTTTTTTGAGCAGATGCTATGACTATACATCAAGTAGGCAAAAACAAAAATTCGGCATTCTAATGTACTTGAAACGTGCATCAAAGCTATCCTGGAAAGCGTTTCAGATATCTAAAGCCTATTATCCATGGAGATCTTGAATATATTAGCTGAAACTAATTCTGTATAAATCTGTGTTACACAGAAGTTCCATTAGTTTATTGAAGTAAGAATTTGAATATCAGAAAAGCGCAATGAAGTGTGTGAGTAGTATTGAGCAACAGATTTACATAGAATTAATTCAACGTGATTTGCTCCTGATATGTATTTATAGTAAAGTTAAACTAGTTAAGAGATTCCAGAGAATAGCTGTGAAGCACGCTTGAAATATGATGAAGCGTAAAATTTCCGTCTCTTCCTTGCTAAAATCTTACATCCATACTTTAATGACTACACTCCTATACCAAAAGTTGTATGATTACAGTTGCGAATTTATGTTCGTATGTTTACATGTTTTGGCATGTTTGCTGGATGTATTGCTGAATGATGTATATCAAGCAACAGGACGATATGATGTGGTTTGAATCAACTCTTGGTAGTTCATGCTTTTGAACGAAAACAAGTAGTTGATGTCAACGACAATTTACCAACAAATGGGATCGAAAACGATGATTATTGATTTAATCAATCTTCTACACTTAGTGTATGCTGTGTGTATTACGTTGTTATTCGAACGTCGTCCACAGCCGACGTATTCCTGTATGTTACGCTGGATTTTAATGGTATTAGGTCATTGTTTACGATAGCTTAAGCGTATCGCAAAGCTTCGATTATTATTATTGTAAAATAGCACTCGAGTAGTAGTTGTTGTTTTCTGCTATAGTTAAACGGCATAAAACCGTATATGATCATGAGAAATTCATCTTGGTAGCGACTAACGTGAATAAATGCATTTTTTTAATGAACGTAACAACAGAATTGATACTTTTTATCGATTTTTTAACTTACTAGAGTGCTCGTGGAAAAAGTATGACGCACAGAAAACTGTCACCCTCGAATCTTAGTCTTTTCAAACCACTTTTCTCAATATCTTTCGGAAAATAACGATTTCACGAAGTTTAAGGCATGGCTCTAAATAATGCATTGAAATTTTCCTGAATTATCAACCATATAAACACTATCTGTAATGATGCATGATTATGGATTGTAATACACTGAAAACACAGAAAATAATTAATTACAATTAATTGTTTCATGAATTTTATCAAATAATGGAAAACAGTGGATCGTTTTTTCATTATGTATCCATTATCAAATACATGGGATGGCACGATACTTTTCATGACATATACGGAAACTTGTTTCATCGGATGGTTTTGTGCATGCAAACAGGAGAAATATGTTTGATATGTTGCTCCATATTGTGTCAGTTTTCTTATGTTAAAATAAGAAATCAACGTGATCAATTATTTCATGATATTCTCATCGATGCTATTGATTATTCGTTTGACGTTGGAAGTAAAGAAAAATATAATCCTAATAACAAAGAAGAATGTTTGTTGAATAATTCTTAGTATTGATATTTCAATGTTTATTTTAGCGTTTTAAAATTTTTGACAAATATTCTATTGTTGTGAGAAAATGACATTTTTATTTTACTAACTTGGCCAACGTTATTTTTTTTGATAAAAACCCTGTGTTTATGTCAGAGTAATTCTTCATTACTTTTTATAGCCATCAGTACTGAATGTCTAACTCCTCTCTTTCACACCCACATTTCAATACAATGAATACCACAAACTCATTCTCCTATGGAAAATAAAATAAAAATTAGAACACTACATTAAGTCTAAACATTTGGTTAAATTACATTCTTTTGAATTTATTTATGTCATTATTAACTTTTCTTTATTCTTCATTATTGTCTTCCTTTCCATCGTCATTCCAGTGCGTAAAGAATGAGATATACAGCTACCATGTAACATATTCAGATCATATTTTCTATTATTCATTGTTTGTAGTTGGGCCCAAAAATAGACAGTGATATCTTCAGATTGCTCAGTCAATTCGTTCACAATGGATGTAAAGATTATCCAGGTTCGATTTCAAATGGTTGTAGCGGTTCACTCTATTAATCGAGCATGAAATCAATGTTCAACGATTTTTAAGCTACGTTTCAAAATTCTTAGTCACCTTTCATTGTCAGATATATTTCTTTTTTTTGAATGAGATTTACGTAAGAAACATTGTGCATCGTGTATATCAATTAGCTTTTTCAGCGATTATTCAACATTCAATTTTACTATCTTCTACTTATTTATATTCATGAAAATGAGAGGCAGAGAGACTTCAGTCTTTTTACAATAAATCTCCTTCTATCATCAGTTCGGTATTTTTAATCTATTCAACACTTATCTACTGATGCGGGTCGAAATTATAAGACTTCATTACTTCTGAATAGATTAAGTTGATTAAAATGACAGGATATGCAAAAATATGCTCTATGTTCTCGCTTGTGAGGATTTGTCGGCATGAGAGAATACGTGACAGATAATAATGATACCATTACATCTATCATTCTATATTTTCTCATTTTTTTTCACATAGCTGCTTCATTCACTAAAAAAAATGTCATCATCATCGGATGCAAATCTTATTGCTGCGTTGAACAATGCTTCAACTCAACTAAATCGTTACTTTGGAATTTTTATCTTTCTCTTTGGTATTGTGGGAAATACTCTCAATACATGTGTTTTGTCACAAGGAGCTATCCGTTCAAATCCTTGTGCATGGCTCTTTCTTGCTTCGTCAATTACTAATGGTATTGGTATTCTTGCTGGTCTTATTTCTCGACCGTTATCAACTTGGTCTGCTGATCTAACAAATACAAATCAATTTCTTTGCAAACTTCGTGCATTTCTTCTATTCAATGCAATCACTATTGGTTCTTGGCTTATCATGTTGGCTACGGTTGATCGATGGCTTTCATCAAACATCAATGTTGGTCGACGACAAAAAAGCACCTTAAAGAATGCTCAACTCGGTACAATAATGATTGTCATCGGTTCGAGTATTATTGAAGCACAACAATTCTATTGCTTTGAAGCCAATCTTATCAATACACCACTCAAATGTTATACAAAATCAGTGTTGTGTGGCATTGTGTCGGATCTATTCTTTGCTCTAATTACAATCCTAGTTCCATTGATATTGATGATCATTTTTGGTTTGCTGACCATCTCGAATGTACGTAAATCGCAATTTCGTCTGCATCCGACGAGTAGAGCGATGAATGTTCGTTTGAGTCACACAGCAAAGAACAACACTGGAAATATGACTCGACGCAAGAAAGTAGATCGTACTTTTATGATGATGCTGTTTTTGCAAATTTTTCTCATCTTTCTACTTATTTTTCCTATGGCTGTACATAAACTCTACACAACCATAACCCGATTCGTACCCAAGTCTCCATTGCAAATAACTATTGAAAATTTTGCCTTTAATTTATTTCTTCTGTTTGTGTACATATCTTGTGGAATGCCATTTTATATTTATACATTAAGCGGAGGAAGTGTATTTCGTAAGGCGCTCTTCAGTTTTCTGAAAACATTAGGCCGAAAAGTGATGTGTCAACGTGGCTGATGTTTCATTTTATTAAAAAGAAACTAAATTTAATGTAGTGCATACTTGTAATGCTTTGTGAATATATAATGTATGGAGAATAAAAATTTCTATAGAATATATGATTATTTTTAGCCAAAAGCTGTAATGAATCCTTGGAAGACGTAGACTTTAAAAAAATATAGGCTTATTACTGAACTTTAAAAGTTCCGCATGTTTATACCGAAGGTGTGGGTGTGGGTGGGTCGATGTTTTTTTCGAATAATACCCATATTCACGCCCCACATTCTTTTTAATATTACTTATATGATATACCGCCCAATGTTGTTGTTGATAACAGTTGAAAATCTTGATAGTTTGACAGTTAAGATTCATCGAGAATGAAATTCTACTGGAAACATAATTTCAACTCAAGAAGATTTTATTAAATGTCAATGATCATAGATATCCAAATATTTTAGGTTTTGAGAAAAGAAATCGATTGTTTCGTGTCTAAATGACTTTCCTTTGTTTCTTTTCCGCCCAGGTCGAATACGCACGCTTGTAAACGATCGTTTACGAAGAAAAACGGCAGTTTACGAAGTGCGTGCAGATGATTAATTGCACAAGTAAATAAATACTTCATCGATCCAGGCACAAATCGGACTTCTCGCAGTTCATTGATTATTTATGTCTCTTTATTCTTATACCTCTTTCATTTTCACATTATGTTTCCATACATATACTGCAGAACGTCGACAGTTTGTATGGAGACATAAATTATGACTTTGCTCCTCGCTAATATAGATTTCACAGTGAAGATCTTCTAGATAAATGCTGCAGGAGGTAATCCAAAAAGGTGGATACCTCGTAGCAATAATTTTATTAGAAAATATATGTTAGAAAATGTAGATAAATATAAAGTAAATATAGTGAGAAATTTCAATAGAGAATACTGCACATACTAAGAGCACGAAGATTTACAAGTATTAGTAGAAAGTAGAGGCATACCATAGAAGACAGTATAGTCGTTATATGTGCAGAGTTTATAAATCAGAAGACGTAGACCTCGCAGTAAATCGATATAGACTAGGCGTCCAGGATAGTACCTTTGTACAATAATTAATAAATACATATGTACTATGAATTCGTCTTCTTTTTTTGTTCTTAAGAGAGAGTCCATGAGAATACCACCAAATATGAACACCACGGGCATTTGACAAATTTTAAAAATGCGATAGTTTGACATAAAATGAAAGATCATGTTTGAAAACATACAAATCCAAAATTTTAGCTCAATCTGACAGAGTATTGAAGAGTTATACAGACGACACTGATGATGAGTCAGAATGGTTTAGACCAAAATATCAATTTTTCCATGTTTGTGGTATTTCATCGATTTCTCCTCGATGGTAGGAGCTATCTTTCACTGTGATATCTCAAAAGATAGAGAATTTTTTCCTCTATCGAACTGTATATATGACATATTTTTTGAAAGCTCATCGAGACTGAAGAGAGTGAATATACTGAGGGTAGACCATTAAAATAATCAAGTCTGCCGGTAATACTTCGATCAACGATGGGTCAAAAAAGTTGTATTCCATTTTTTTGATTCCAGATTCTGAAAGGGCGTGAACAACTGCATCGAATCATATATATTCCATTTTGATAACTCATTGATTCGGTATTTAATTTTTCGACGCAATCCTATGGCCTACCAATACCAATAGAGGTTTGCATTTTTTCACTAGTCTTATTAAATTTCAGTCAGAAAAATAAGATTTCAGTCAAAAATAATAACATATTCGGAATCAGCATTAAAAACTGAGTTAGGCTAAATGTATTTCAAAGTTTTTCATCAACATTATCTTTTCGTAAAAATTGACCTGGGGTCCCCCTCAGGGTCCAGTCAAAAAATCAGTTTTATTACAAAATCATTTGAACAGTCGAAAACAAGTTCTGAGGGCATAAAAA